GTCTACATAATTTAAGCCTTCTACATCCTTGTCATTACAGGAGATGTCAGAATAGTAAAAGCCAATCCCAGGCTGACCTGTTCCTGCAACCCTGTGGTTTTGTGGCTCTGCAGACTTTATAAAGCTGTCTGTCGGTGCCTGTGGTCCCCACAGTTGGGGCAGTTGGTGGTGAATGTCATCTCTCACATTTCGCCCCGAGGGACTGGAACCGAGAAGGTGTACGCATTTACAGAGGTTTACAAAGAGGAGTGGGGCAGCCCCCTGCTCAGCCTCTGCTGCACTAAGGCGCGTCCTTCCACCTGAGCCCCTAGCTGGCTGCCTATCAGCAAGAATAGAAGTCGAGGACAGAAGCCAGAGCCCCAGTGTTGTTCTGGAGATTATTAGAAACAGCAAAGCCTTTCTTAGACCACTGAGCACATCACATCCTGGGTACATATAAGAGACTCGACAAATACTAGTGTAAATGGCTTAGGAATTATCCAGGTTAAAACAGTGAACATATTATTAGAACAAGGTTCTCAGTCAACAGCTTTCCAACATTTTCACGTTGTTATCCTCACCCTGCCGCTCCATTCAACCCCCTGTGTACATGAGTACACATCTCATAAGACGGCACCCCAAACACGTATGCGCACGCACATGTGAAAGAGGACTGATCACAAAGCTATAGCCTTGTCCCAAATCTGGGTCTTTGGGCATTGATAAGATTAGCCGGGCCACATTTAGAATAAACAGATATTTAACTATCCCCCTCTTGTAAATTACTAACTACTTGGTAACTAGGCTACTCTTAATATGAACAAAAGATAGTATATTTTTTAAAATTGTTAATTATAGACTATAACATCCATAATTGTTACCACATAAAATAAACTTGGGCAAAGGGGATACATTTTACCCCTTCCCAGGGTTTAGGAGAGAGTAAGCGATGGGTATTTTATTCTGATTCAGGTTCTCACTGGGGATGATTTTGTACCCCATTCTCCCCAGGGGACATTTAGCAATGTCTGGGCATTTTTGATTGTCGCTGCTGGCATGGACGGATATTATTGTCATCTAGTAGGTTAGTGCCCAAGGATGCTGATAAACATGCTACAGTGCACAGAACAGTCCCCCATGACAAAGAATTAGCCAGCCCAAAGTGTCAATAGTGCTGGGATAGAGAAACCCTGCTCTGTAAATCGTTAGGTTTATTTGCTGACCTTTACAGTGGATTAGCCGTTATTTAGTTAATTCAGAGGTGAAATGAACACCAGTGCCCCTAATCCGTCTTTGTATTCTGCAGCGGCCTTGGCACCCTGACCAAGATTGGGATGCGCTCTGACCATGTGTGAAGGCCTGAATTCAGGCAACTGACAGCAGCATTTGGACTGGGTTCTAGCAGTCACAGCGAAAGAAAATGAAGAGCTGTCATGATACTAAGTGCCTAAGGTTACGTGAGGGAGTGAAGAGTAAAAATGTGATGAGGAGCCCGCTGTTGGGAGTATGTTTTGAGACCAGCAATAGTGGCATCACCTGGGCACTTAATGGAAATGCAGACTCTCAGGCTCCCCTCAGACTGAGTCTAAATCTGCATTTCAGCACGATACCCACGTGATGATTGTGCATCTGGAAGTTAGAGGCACTGGGTAAGCATTTTTTACTTTGGAGGAAAATATACCTTGGTTCAGATTGTGGCTCTGACTCTTAGCAGAGGTGTGACCTTGACCGTGTTACAAAACCTCCCTGCACCTTAGTTATTTCGGCTGTAGAAAGGGGATAACATCACCTATCTCATGAGGTGGTTGTGACACCTCTCATGTGGTTGTGACGGTTTACCGTCTTTCAACAGCCAAGATGGTAAAAGAAGAAAACAAAACAAAAACAAAATAAAGGGAAAGGGCTCAAGTAGAAGACTTCAGGCTGCAGAGTAGATTAAATAAGAATACTGACTAAAGTTCCTTTGAAAAAGGGATTAATGTAGACTATATTGTGTTCAATAGTGAGTAATCCTAAGTATACAGGTTGTGAGGGGTGACTTGTCTTCTAAGTGTTTTGCAAGAGAACATTTTTTAATCTTTGATTTAAATCAGAACAGGTTTTCATTTTCTTTAATTTTTTGATTATAAAAATGTTTATTATCACACATTTAGAAAATACAGGAAATACAAAGAAGAACGGCAAGCACACCAAACCCAGTACCTACCTATCTCTTCTTTTATTCAACAATTATTTATCAAACATCTGCTGGGTGCCAGGGACTGCTTGGTGTTGGACAGACCCCCATCAACAAGGTGGCAAGGTTCTAGCCTTCTCAGAGCTTACAACGTTGAGTGACTAAATTTTGATGCGTTTCCTTCCAGTATTTTTTTCTGTGCCCTTAGTGAATATGTGATAGCAAACAATAAGAGCTAATGTTTACTGTATTACTGTGTGTTGGACCCTGTTTTAGGTGGTTTGTATGGTATGTATTAACTCAATTCCTTTAACACCACTATGAGGGAGGTACTGTTATTTCCACTTAACAGATTGGGAAATTGAGGCACAAAGAGGTTAAGCAACTTGCTAAAGATCACAAAATCCATAAATGCAGAGTCTCGATTAAAAACCAGGTGGCCAGGCTCCAGAGCTTGACCCTATTAGTCACGGAACTGTACTGCCTCTCATAATACTTATAAAATTGAGATCATACAATATAGACAATTTTAATTCTTGCTTTTGTATTGACCATTACACGTGAGCATCCTCCTGTAACGTGCATAAACGGTCTATTTCTTACCTCCAAAAGAAGTAGAATTTTAATTCATTTGTTTAACAGAGTCATAATGAAATAAACATAAATAAAAATGTGATGACAAGCATTTAAATGCTTACAGAGATTATAAGGCATTCTTAATGGCTTATCATTTGTTTAAAGATCCTGTACTTTCAAGAGGAGTTAAGATGGACAAGTTACATTAGGAAATTAAACATTTTGTAGCTTGTACTTGATTTCATAGCAGGAAAACAAACCCAGCTTTAGATAAAGAGCAATGGTGATGACTGTTCTGTAAATTAGTCATAACATGGAATTGTGTTGGAGATGTTGAATGGAAGAGAGAGTGTATTGTCTTACGGGGTGGGGCGGTTGTGAGACTCAGGTTGCCTGTGCGGGGCTTTTCATGGCACGTGTTAAGAATGCACTGTGTCAGATGAGGTCCACTTGTGTGTGGGAACTTCGCTAGTTTCATAGTGAACCGGTGGGATGGTCTCTGTGCGTGTCCATAAGGTATTAGTGAGATACAACAACACTGAACCGGCAGCAGAGTGTCTGCAGTTGGGAAAGGCACAAATTCCTGAACTGTAAAGAGATTTCAGCTAAGAAATAGAAATTTGAAAATCGATGGCATAGGAGACATTTGAATTGTAGGCATATCTAACTTGTGGGGGTATCTACAGAAAGCATGAACTTGTTCATTGTCTCACCCTCTGGGCAAATTACTTGGCTTCTCTGAACCATAGTTTTCTCTTCAGGCTAATACTTGCCTTCTGGTGTTGGCATCAGGATGAAATGAGTCTGTCCATATAAAACACCTGGCATGGTGCCCAGCACTTGGTAGAGGATTTATTAATGGTCACAGTTACTCTTGGCTGTTAAGTAAGTTTTAATCTTTTTTAAAAACACCTAGCCTTATATACAACACGGTGGTTAAGAACGTACATAAAAGCCAGACTGCTTGGGTTCCAACGCTGGCTCTACGATTTTCCAGCTGTGTGGCATTGGGCAAAAGGCACGTGAACTCCTGTGCTTTAGTTTGCTTCTCTTTAAAACTGAATAGTTACAGTACCTACATGTTAGGGTGGTTGAGTGTTAAATAAATTACTATATATAAAACCCTCAGAACAGTCTGGTATAGAGCACTGTATGAATGCCTGCTGTTGTTATCAATAATACACTCATTAACTCAGAAGAAGATAAAGTAGTATACCTTACAAAGTAGATATCTTTGAACGTTTCCTCAGCTGATGCGACTTTTGCTTATTACTATTTGATGTGCAATTTGTTTGATGTTTGTGGCTCAGGTGTAGTTTTTTCAATGCATATTGAAACTTGATTTTTAAATTTGGTGATACCATTGTGTAATATCTGAATAAGCAGAATTTTCTGATCAGACACCATGTTTAAATATAAATTTTTATTGAAAAATGACCATTCTGGCTGTGGTATATATGTGTACAGTGGAATACTATTCAGTCATAAAAAAGAATGAATTTTTGCCATTTGCAGCAACACGGATGGACTTGGAGGGCATTATGCTAAGTGAAATAAGACAGAGAAAGACAAATACTGTATGATCTCACTTATGTAGAATCCAGAGACTACAACAAACAAGTGAATATAACAAAAATGAAGCAGACGCACAGATAGAGAACAAACTAGTGGTTATCAGCGGGAAGGGGGAATGAGGGGGAAGAGGAATAGGGCTGTAAACTATTATGTATAAAATAAGCTACAAGGATATATTATACAACACGGAGTATAGCCGATATTTTATATTAACTATAAATGGAGTATAAGCTTTAAAAATGGTGAATCACAGATTAGAAAACAAACTTACGGTTACCAAGGAGGGGAGGAAGAGTGGGATGAATTGGGAGGTTGGGATTGACATATATACACTAATGTGTATAAAATAGATAACTAATGAGAACCTACTGTATAGCACAGGGAACTCTGCTCAGTGCTCTGTGGTGACCTAAATGGGAAGGAAATCTAAAAAAGAGGGGATATATATATGTATGACTGATTCACTTTGCTCTAGAGCAGGAACTAACACAACACTGTAAAGCAACTATACTCCAATAAAAAATAAATTAATTAAAAAAATAATTGTAAAAATTGTGAATCACTATATCATACACCTGTAACTTATATAATATTGTACGGCAACTGTACTTAAAAAAGGGAAAACAAAATAAAGAGGAAGAAAAAGGAAAAAGAAGAAAAATGACCATTCTGAAATGTCCTTTTTCCTCCCCAGATTATTCAGAGCTGGGAGAGCTTCCCCCACGATCTCCTCTAGAACCAGTTTGTGAAGATGGACCCTTTGGCCCTGTCCCAGAGGAAAAGAAAAGGACATCTCGTGAACTTCGAGAGCTGTGGCAAAAGGCCATTCTACAACAGATACTGCTCCTCAGGATGGAGAAGGAAAATCAGAAGCTGCAAGGTTGGTTTGCCATTTTTTATATTTAACAGGCCTGATGTTGATTTAATTTGTCCTGACTCTAAAGTGAAGCGTATCAGACATAAGCATGTTATTCTTTAAAAAGAAAAGAAAAGAAAAGAAAAAGGCAAGGTACTCTAACATACATACATACACACATGCATATTAAATACCTGTTACTTTTCGAAAGCAAAGTTAGTACTTTTCACTTCCTAGAGATTTAATGATAATCTCGCCAATTATATTAAATTAAATCTTCTGAGAGACATCCTTCAAATGTAAGCTTTAACTCCCTGAAAAGTGTTTTTTGTTTTCCTCTTTCTCTCTCTCCCCCTGCTGTGTCCTCACCCGTAGTCTTTGCCTGGTACTAGGTATGAACTGATCCTACCTAAATCATTAAAGTTCATGACCTCACTCTGTGTGCGGATTTAGTGAGTGGCAGGCAACCTGAAAAATACGAGAACTAGACTTCAAGTTAGCTGAGCTGTACCTGTACTGATAACAAGGTTTTAGAAGGACAGACTCATTTAATCCTGGTGACAACTCGAGAAGGCAGGTATAGCCTGAAGAGGAAACTAATGCTCAGAGAAGCCCGGGGTTATGTTAGTGTCAAAATAAGCCATGAACTTTGAAAGTTTAGATTCTGTTCATTTCCTGTTTCCATAGTCATTTGAACCAATACATATTATTTGCAAAGTAGCTAAGGAGCTGAGTTGTATGTACCCTGGGTGGTATACTGCAAAGAGAACGGACGGATCTTGGAGTGCAGAGAGCTGCCTGGATATAAAATAAGGAGGATTTTGGTTGGGAAATCCGAACATACTCTTTAAAAGGGAGGCTATACAAGGAGTACATGGTGGCCCTGTCCAGATCAGTTTTGGAATTAACTTCCTCCTTGATTGCAGAGCTTCATCTTTTATTGTGATGTTTGTATAGAGCTGAAAGTTAAGACACCAAATCTGGTGAATAAGGTTCATTGTCCATATAAATATGTCATCTTTGACCAAAAACAAAGAGTCAAGTACAAAGTAATAAGACCTTTTGGTAAGAGAGTAGTTGAGCGGTTGGAATTGTCTACTTAGGGGTGTAGTGGGCTCTCTCCAGTACCCAGTATTGAAGCTGAGAGAGACAGCTCATCCCATGAGGCTGCTGTGGAAAGGGATGCCATGGTGAGGGGAGTTTAGAGCAGTGAATGCTAAGTTTTCTTCCAAGTCTATTTTTCTACCATTTTCTTGTATGTTCTTGAAGGTAATTCTAAAAGCAGATGTCTAAAAGAGATTTAATAGTGATGGCATCGCTGAGTGTTCCATCGACTAAATGACAGCTTTGGAGCACAGTGCTTATAATCATGTGTATGTTGGTGGGGATTTTTGTTGAAAAGTAAAAAGGCACTTATATTCATCATGTAGGTCATAAACCTTAATGCTTTTCCTGGCCAGTCTTCTTGCAGATGGCAGCTACGGAAAATCAGGGCGTAGTTGTAAAATGGGAAGGATGCTGGCTGGCTTCTTGGGAGTGTTGGGAGGAATCGTGACTGTGACTGATGAGACAAGATCAGATTGCCACAGTGGCAAAGCTTTTGTAAAGCCGTGTAAATGGTGACCAGGAAGACTAGAACGGGCAGGGAAGAGTTTCCTAAGGTACCTGGAACACCTTGCCCTTGTTCACTAGCCCTTGCCAGCATCCTCATTTGCTGCTTCCTTGTTTCATCCAGCAGAGTTCTGTCCTGTGTGGTCTCTTATTTTCACTGTTTGAATTTATTCCTCTCCTTAGCTCTGTAAAGTCCAACATATGCTTATCTTGGTGGTGAAAGCATAATAAACTTGCTAAATATCATTTAGGAAGCATTGTGTCAGTGTGTACAGTACCTGTATTCCTGAGAAAACTAATCAACAATAAGAGCCTGATCATGAATGGCCTAAAAACATTTAGTAAGTTTTGTTGGGGTGGCATGGGGGGCACAGAATCATTAAATACAGAGGCAAGATTTGACAAGAACCAACCAGGAGTGCACTAGAGAGGCAGTCATTTTATCGCATTTTTTTTTTTTTCCCCAGTTACTTTTAAAGGAAGGTTAAATTGCAGCTGGAAGTGGCTCTTGCAGTTGATCAAGAATTCAGGCTGAATTGCCTGCTTTTGGGGAAAGAAACGAGAGGAACATATAGGAGGAGGTTCTTCCTATGGTTAAGCCTTTTTCCTGGCTTTTGAATATATGGATCAAATGTTTATTACTATTCCGGGAGCACTGCATTCAAGAAAGAATCAAACCACGTCATCTAAATCTGTTTCACTTCATTGTAGACCATTGGAAGCTGAATTGTGATTTCCTCAAAAGTTAAACAGCTAATCTTCAGTGGTGTCGGGACTGAAATGCATGGCCTCTCTCCCCGGCCCTCAGTCCTCTGCAGCACCCTCTGCAAGGCCATTTCCCCCATTGTAAATGATGATGGAGCAGCCTGATGCAGGACAGCAGGATGACTCACCACAACCATGGGCTTTGGTCAGCACTCTACCGCTTATTGGACTGAGTCATATAATTTAATGTTGCAGATGCTACATTGGCATAATGATAACACAGTGAATTTTGAGTTTTAATTGATTATCATTGAAGATACTTTTTTAAAGATTTTCCTAGTTAAACAAGTACTACACGTTGGTTATAAAAAAAAAAATTAGATATCGAGTGCAGTTTTTCTAAAATCTCTACAAGTTTGGGTGTCGTTTAATTATTGAGTCTCCCAGCCTCTTAGCCTTCCTTCCCTTTCTAAGTTTTCAGGAGATGGTGGCAGTTGGAAGAGCATTTTGTCCGTGAAGGCAATTGCTAATAGAGCAGAACTGGGACAGGCAGCCACAGCACACCCTGTGCGGTGACATAATCAGACCTGAACATTATTAGTCTGCAGTCCAGGTTGTAGCTCACATCCACGTTAAATGGCGATTAGATGACTCTTTTGCCAAGTTACATTTTGATCTCATTTAGTCCTGGTTTCTCCTAGCCCCCAGAAACTCTTAAACATGGGTTTGCAGACACTTATTTAATAAAAGAGTTTGGTCTTGTATCTCAAGTTCTTGCCTTAGAGCCTTGATGTTTGTTGTGGGGGTTGCACCATCTGCCTTGCTTGATAAGGCATTTTGGAGGCCACTGGTTTAGGGAGCAGTGTTGTCAGGATACTGAAATGGCAGGCTGTTGCTTGGGCCAACAGCAAAATACATAGCTTAATAAGCCTTTTCAGCTGCGTTTTCTGGCCAGATATTTCTGTTCTGTTGACTTCAGAGTAGGTTCCTCTTGTTGCTTTCTGGGCTCTTTAGTATCCAGACGTGCTCACAGCAGAATTCACTGCCAGAGAAATGTACATTTGGCCCCAAGAGCCTTGTACTGCTTGCAGTCACTGTTTGGCAGGGCTGGCCCTGAACCTTATGTGCCACAAGCATTAGCTCAGCTCTAATGGCATCTACGATGTGTAGATGAGAAGCTGAGAGAAATTGAGGGGTGACATTTTTAAAAAATTTGAACTCCACATACACGCAGGGAATTATTTAGCAGGACCTTGAAAATGTGTTCTTCAAAGTAAGAAGGAAAAGAATAAAGACAGAAGATGAAAAATCACAGAAGATGAGAAGGAGGCAGCAGTAGGCCTAGAGTCTCCTGGCCACCCACCAGCTAGTAAATCACCTTGGGCAAGTCCCTTGCTCACTTTGAACTTCAGTTTTTGTGTCCATGAAGTGAGAGGCTGGACGAGGGATCTCTGCAGCCCTTTTCAGCGCCATCTTTTGATGCGTTTGTACTCTTAAAGGCGGTAACTGGGTCAGTTAAGTACAGAAAACATGCATAAGATGACTAAGATCTTACTGTCAGGTTAGCATTAGCCAGATTCTTTGAGTTATTATCATTTGCTCAATTTCTAATGGGGGAAAAGAAAATATTTCATGTTATCAGCACGTGGTTTGTAAAGCAACATTATTTCGGTTTTTTTTGCTTTTATATTTTTGGTAATTTGTGGAGCACTTGCTAATTAGCAGACATCTTGTAGATGGTTAGTATATTTCATCTCACTTAATCCTCACAGGAGCAACTCAATGAAATAGCTGTAATTCCTATTTAAAAAATAATCCAGGGTGCAAAAATCCTGGACCCAGCACATCCTAATTCTGCTGCCCTGGACAAAGTAATGAACCTGCTCAGCCTTGGTCTCCTCCAGAATAAAAGTTGGGGCGGGGGGAGTGTGGATTTGTGGGATGGGGGGAGAGCAGATCGTGCGAGGTGTGCACTGACTTAGTGTCTCTGGGACTAAGAACAACTCTTCGCCAAGAAACTTAACAGCTTAGATGAAATGGGCAAACTTACTGGAAGGTGCAATTTATCACAACTGAAATAAGAAGAAAAAGAAGTCTGAATGGCCCTATATCTGTTAAAGAGATAAAATTTGTATTGAGGCTCTTTCAAACAAAGAAAAGTCTAGGTCCAGATAGCTCCACTGGATTCTATAAACATTTAAGGCCCCTAATTGATACCTGCCTAGTCTCAGAAAATGTGTATAATTAATCACAGCAAGTTCTGCAGTGTGGTGGAGAAAGGCAAGGGGCCCAGGCCCACTCCGCCTCCTGCTTGGGCCTTGGGGGAGGGGCTCAGTCTTCTCATCCAAAGATACCTGCCTCACAGTGTCCTGAAGATTAGAAAAATGCTGCAGATGAACCTATTTGCGGGGCAGGACTAGAGACGCAGACGTAGAAAACAGATGTGTGGACACAGGGCTGGGGAAGAGAGTTGGGACGAATTGGGAGATTAGGATTGACCTATATACACTACCATGCGTAAAATAGCTAGTGGGAACCTGCTGTATAACACAGGGAGCTCAGCTCGGTGCTCTGTGATGACCTAGGTGGGCGGGATGGGGGGTGAGGTGGGAGGGAGGTCTAAGAGGGAGGGGATATGTGTATACATATAGCTGATTCACTTCGTTGTATGGCAGAAACTAACACAATGTTGTAAAGCAACTGTACCCCAATTAAAAAAAAAAACAAAGAAAGGAAAAGAGAAAAAAAAAGATTAAATGTTACTAAATATAGAGTACTTAAGACATATAGTGTTTATTATTATCATAAAGAAGACAAGTTTACAGCTCTGCAGAAGCCTGTATGTTGGCTTATGCTGAGCTATGTATCCTACCTGTTTTCCCAATAAACTCACAGTGTAGATCAGAGATAGGTTGTGGAGTGGATATGGGGGCTGACAACGTTACCACCTTGTCTGAATAGGATTTAGTGGTTTTAGGTGGGAGTGAGGTTCTCAGTTTTAATCCTTCTTAGATCCCCTGCCCCCGCTCCTGCCCCCCAAGTTTGGTAATTTAGGTATAGTTCTTAACGCAGCTGTAAGCTGAATAAGTTTGGTAGGAAATAATAGCTATCTTCATATATTTGAGGAGATGCCACATGAAAAGGGTAGATTTATTCTGTTCAGCCCCAGGCAGCAGAAATGTGACGAAGGGTAGAAGCTACTTAGAGGAGGTTCGGCTCTAAATAAGAAGGAACTATCCTCGGAGAGCCTATCCTAGTTTAGATGAAGTTTTGTTGAGAGCTCATCGTGCCAGGCACTGGGAATTCTAACACATAGTTCCTGCCCTTGAGATGTCTCTGATTAATAGGGCAGCTGTGGAGATGGGTAGAATTGGATAGGTGTGGGGTGTATTTTAGCAGTAGAGCCAGCAGAACCCATTGGGGGTGAAGGACTAAGAGGAATCAAGGATGCCTCCTGGGTGTTTAGCTTCTTCCATGGTAAGGAAGCTGTGGTGGGGCAGGAACCGTGTCTTTACCTTGGGCCTGTTAAGCTGGCTTGCGGCTGCTTGACGTCTCAGTGGTGGTGATGAGCAGGCAGCCGTGCTGTAAAGTAGGAGACACGGAGCTGTAGCATTGACTACCGTGCTCTTCAATTGTCTGTTCTAGCCTCTGAGAATGATTTGCTGAACAAGCGCCTGAAGCTTGATTATGAAGAAATCACTCCTTGTCTTAAAGAAGTAACTACAGTGTGGGAAAAGATGCTTACCACTCCAGGAAGATCAAAACTTAAGTTTGACATGGAAAAAATGCACTCGGCTGTTGGGCAAGGTAAGCTTAACTGGGAATCAGGCCAGCCGGCCTCACCCCTCACTGATGACTGGGGAGAAGTATGGAATACAAAAAAATTTTTAAGTCCAATTTCAGTGGCCATCTCTCTCCTATTTATCATGTCTTTACCAAATCTGTTTCCAGATGTCTTAGTTAATTGATGTGAGTTTCATTACTTTTCATGATTCCTCTTCATTAAGTTAATTAAGGAAACAGGAAGAAGACAACAGAATACCTAAGGGCTTAGTTGCCTACAAACTGGGTAATGATGTGATGACAAGCTGAGTGAAATGGTAAACTGACAGTGAATTGTGTGCCTTCTGTCTGGATGCTCTCAGGAGGTAACATAGTGTCCAGCCCGGACTTCAGGCAGGTAGGCTCGGGTTTGGATTCCAGCTCTCCAGTTACTTTGCAGCCCTTGAAATAAAAGACGCTGAGTGGGTAAGAAGGCCTCTCCTCTTAATGAGACCCCTAAGTGACGGAAATAAAGAGATTTATAAACATCCCAAGTTAAAGTTCGACCAAGGTGGCAGGATTTTAGGGTGTCAGCTTGGGAGAAGGAGGAACAATTCTAGGGAATTTTAAATAATTCAAAGTTTACTTTGGTTTTAAAGGATTTCTCTAAAGGTATCAAGGTGTAGAACTTTATGACCTGGAGCGTACTTTTCTAGGAGTGGGATTGCAAAGAGGCTACCTGAGCAGTTGGCAATATGGGCCAGAAGCAAACTCTGCTCACCTTTGACCCAGCACTGCCACGTATAGAAACCCATTCTAGAAATGAATCAGTCAAAAATGTCCTGCAGTGGGAAGAGTGCAGATTGTGGCAGTGTTTACTGGCCAAAAAAACAAAGCAGAACCCGAACCCGAAAAACCCCAACCGCGTGACCACACGTATGTCACATTCCTTGAAAATAACGCAGTAGATTTATATTGACGGCAGTAAAAGGTGTCTGAGGTCAGTCGTTAAATGAGAAAGGACAGCGTGGCCTCATGTACAGCTGCGTATCTCCATCTGTGTATATGTAGAAAGACATCCTTGATGTGTTTGCAGATAACCTGAGTTGTAGACAGGATGGCCATCCATCCGGGTTACCCAGCGTAGCCCTGCTTTACAACCTGTCCAGTAATTAATAGCCTTCCTCCCCTTCGCTTTCAAAAGCTTCCCGCTTTGGGTGGTGAATTATATGTTCCCTCTAGTTATGAATGGTTTTTCACTTTCTTCTTTATACCTTCTGTATTTTCAGAAGGTTTGTTTGTTTTTCTCACATTTAAATAGTGAGCATATATTACTTCTAAAGTGAGTAACAGTTAAAAAGTATTTACATCTGGGGGGAGGGTGGCTTCCTGCCTGCAGGCCCAGTCCACTGCCGGGTTTCTTTCTGGGGTTAGGAGTGGAGGCAAAACCGAGCGTGCGGAAGGCTGTTCCAGGTCATTCTTAGTAAACACATTTGGCACCGAGTTGCATGACCCTTTGTTTTTAAGTCGTAAAATCTAAGCTTTCTCTTAAACACCGGAGTATGTGGTACTGTCCAGGGACGGCCAGTATTTTTTTTCCTCCCCAAAATAAAGGTTTGATAAGATAATGGGAATGATTTAGTAATAAGGGGAAATTGTTCATCTCATAACTTGGGAAATTTCCCAGTTTGACAAAAATATTTTGTGAAAAGCCCCACTATTAACCACGTAACATGCTGACTGTTTTTCAGCCCACATTTGTTTCTAATACAGTGTGCAGTATGAGGTGTGTATGTGTCTGTACATCCCCCCACCCCTCCAGATACATCTCTGAGCAGGAATAGTAGGGAGAAAAGAAACAGAACAGTATAAAAAGGCAGATATCAGGGTGGATTAGTTTCCTGTTGCTGCCATAACAAATGATAACAAAATTGGTGGCTAAAACAACAGAGAGTTTTCTCTCTTAGTTCTGGAGGCCAGAAGTCTGAAGTCAGGGCGTGGACAGGGTCGCCCTCGGCCTCTCCCAGCTTCTGGTGGCTGTCGGCACTCCTTGACCGTGGCTGCGTCACTTCAGTCTCTGCCTCTGTGGGCACATCGCCTGCTCTTCTTGTCTTCTCCTCTGTGTGACTCTTTTCTAAAGACATTGTCATTCTGGGTTATGGCCTCATTTCAAGGTCTTTACCTAACTTAATTATCTCTGCAAAGACCGTTTTCCCAAATTAGGTAGTATTCACAGCCTCAGGTGATCAGGACATGGGCATACCTTTTTGGAGGCCACCACGCAGCCCACTACACAGGGTCATCCAGTTGGCTCCGAGTTAAACATTCAGAACGTGTAGGATGTGGTCACAGTTAAGTGTGGCCCTGTGTTTCTCCCATAGTGTGAAACCAAATTACTGACTATACTGTGAGTATTTCCAAGAGATGGCTGAGTGATGCTTTCTAAACAGCTCCTGTGAATCTGTAATAAATGAAATTGGCTTTCTGGTTCAGATTCACAAATGATGATTTTATTATTAATTGCCAGGTGGGAACGTAAGATGTTTTCCTCAGTACCCATCTGAGTAGCAGCTTGTGTGACAGTGAGAACTTCGAGAGAAAACGGCAGTCAGTTTCCCTGGGTTGCCAGCAACGAGCTGGGGCACCTCTTCTCAGCAAGGGGCCTCTGTTTCCCCATCTGCACCATGTGAAGCATCACCGTATTTCCCTCAGCCGGTCGTGGGGATGATGTAACGTGTTCAGGATGGTGACGGCGCCTGGTCACCTCACAGGGAGTGTTAGCTGCTGCTCTTTCCCGGAGTAGGATCTGCTCTCAGAGACGGCTGGGGAAACTAGCAAACGACCTTCCTGGGTAGGCTCTCCGAGTGGCAGGGAAGGGTACAGAGTGCTCACGGTTTTTTTCTGGATGGAAAGGGAGATGAATCCCTGATTACGAGGCTCCTTTTCTCTGAAGAGCACTCCTCAGAGATGAGGAGGGTTTGGTGTCTTATCCTGCCGTTTTCTTTGTCTCCCCATTTCCATGTTTGGGCCTTGAAACAGCGGAATCACGAACCCAAGAATTTTGCTCCAGAACAGTCACTTTTTCTAATGAGGTTTGACCTGAGTAACCATCATTGACTTTAAGAGGACGTTTCTTAGTTTTAGACAACATTTTAAAATTACTTTGAGTATTTAAGTTAATCACGTCTAAAACATTAGGTAGAGGCTCTTAGATCATTTTTCTTGTTTGTAGGTCCATGTTGAATGCCCACCAGGGCACGTTCATGCAGACCGTCCCCTGTGCAGCCACTGACCCCTTCCTCCAGCCCACGCTCGCAGAAGGACGTCCAATCAGTATTCCAGAATCTCAGCTTTGATTCAGCTACTCCTTCCCCAACTCAAAAACATTCAGTGGCTCCCTTCGGCTACCAAATAAAGTGCAGGTTTCTTGCCCTCAGTTTTGCCTCTAGTAAAGCCCTTCCAGCCTGACTGCCACCTGCTCCCTCCTGCATGTGCCGTGTGCCGAGGGAGGTCTGTGGAAACGCTCTTGGTTCCCTTCCTCTGACTTGGCTTCTCTCTTTCTCCCACTCTTGAGTTTTGGTACAAGTGAAGGAGTCCAGGAAACCTTGATCTCCTTCGTCCAAACTCACCTCTTTGGATCTATCCCTTCTCTGAGTTCACTTTTATTTTCTTAAACTTAAAAAAATTTTTTTTTACTTATTTATTTTTTATTTTGGGCTGCGTCAGGTCTTAGTTGTGGCACGCGGGATCTTCGTTGGGATCTTCGTTGCGGCATGTGGGATCCTCCGCTGCAGCGTATGGGCTCTGTAGTTGCGGCACATGGGCCTAGTTGCCCCGCGGCATGTGGGATCTTAGCTCCCCGACCAGGAATCGAACCCACGTCCCCTCCATTGGAAGGTGGATTCTTAACCACTGGGCCACCAGGGAAGTCCCTGAGATCCCATTTTGCAGTGTCATTTTACATGCTTGCAGTTATTTCCCAAGGACGTTAGTAATTGATGCCAGTTATAGGGGTTCATGTCATTCATCAGTTTATCGCAGAGTCTAGCACAGTCTGCACATAGTACCTAGATATATACTACGAAAGGTGGGAGGGGGTCAGGGAGGTGAGGGAAGAATGGCGGAGAGTGTGGAGGAAGGAAGGAAGGGAGCAAATGCCACAGAATTCTGGTTGCTTTATTTCCATTCCTATGCCGTTAATTCACAGTGGAACTAGAAGTTGGATCAGTGGAGTGAAGCACAACTCGTTTTTATTGTTAAGTTGAATTCTGTACATGAAGCCCCTCTCTCTCTTTTCCACCCCCGCTTTTGAAGGTGTGCCGCGACATCACCGGGGCGAAATCTGGAAATTCCTAGCAGAGCAATACCACCTAAAACACCCGTTTCCCAGTAAACAGCAGCCAAAGGACACGCCATACAAAGAGCTCTTAAAGCAGCTCACCTCCCACCAGCACGCCATTCTCATCGACCTCGGTAAGCCTGCAGTCGATTTGACATGAAAATGGAAGTCTCACTCACTCGAAAAGTCTGAAGAGACTGTCCGAGTTATTTAGTGCTCGGCCTTGAGGTTTAGCAGTCAGAATTTGCTGCTGAGACTTTCGATTAACAAAGCCCTGGAGTCATCACAAATGTCTTCTCAGGTCTATAAAGAAACCTCCTTCGGCGCCGGGTGGCTTGTTACCTCTGCTCAGCATGGAGGGTGGCTGGCGTGGCGGCTCCGGTTCTGACCACGGTTCGGTTCAGTGACTCAGATATTGATAGGAGGTTTTGCAGTCAACCCAAGGAACATCCTGGAAATGCAAGTGTCAGAGCTGAGGCTGCGTTTAAGTACAGGAGCCACTCCCTAGTCTTTACGGTTTACAAACAGGATTTATTAGAAAACTTGTAGAAAGGAGTTTGTGAGTGCACCCTGGGTGATTTTATTCGGGGAACGGGGAGGCGCCGCGTCTCTAGAGCAGTTTTAAAAACGCTAAGGTGGAAACGGTGTCTTGGGTACCTTTGCAGTTGCCACAGTGGAGAACTTGTGGAGGCAGGCTGTAGCCATGGTGACAGAAGGCCTTCTGTCTTGTCAGCAGCCCCAGGTGGGGACGTCCTTTCCTGCCTGCTCCGCCCCCAGCAGCCTCTGGCTCTGGCTCTGCTGGCAGCAGGGCTCCTGGGCAACCCCGTGGGCTCCCGGCCCTGCCGCTTCTAGGGCACATGGTCCTGCTTCCAGAGCACCTACCCTGGCTGCCGCCGCCCCGGGGCTCCCCAGTCCGTGTTCTGGGCCCACTGGGTTTCTGCAGCCGGGAGCGGGCAGCCCAGTTCCCAGCCGTGTGAGGTGCGAGCCGGATCAGGCAGTACTGAGGCTTTTCTGTCCAGCCACACGGCACTTCGTCAGGGCGGATTTCGTAAGTGTCCCTCTTCAGATCTAAGTTAAAGTGTCATCTCTGAGAAGCTGCCCCTGATACAGCCTCTTCTCCCACCTTCAGGCTGGGTTAGGCGCCTCTGCTACGCCTTGTCCCACCCTCTACACCCCCCTCAGCGTACTTATCACATTTATCATTATGACAATTATCATTAGTGTTTAAAGCTAGTACTTAACTTTACCTTGGACCAAATGTTGGGTGAAGTTACTTAAGCTCTTCTCTTTAATCCTCACAGCACAATCAGGGAGGTGTTTTTCTATCCTTGTTTGGAGCTGAGAATATTGAAATGCAGAGAGGTTAAGTCACTTGTCCAAAGTAACACGGCTGGTGTGCCACTGAACAAGTGTGACTCTAGGCCTGTGCTTGTGACCCCACCACCACCACCACCACCACTGTCCTTAGTTACGTGGCAGTGCCTTTTTATTGCCTTTCTTCCCAGTAGGATGCAGCCCTCCCTCTGTGGGCTGGACTGGGGCCATTTGCCATTGTACCCTAGCTCCTAGGACAGAACCTGTCACATAGTAGATGCTTACTAAATCTCTTGATGTTGACTGTGAGGCACCGCACTAGCATCCCAGTCTCACGTGACCCTCACAGGAGCCTTGGAAAACTGGCCCTGTATCCTCTTTAAGAAATGAGAAGTCTCTGAAGCGCAGCGAGGTCAAGTGTTGACCGTGGTCACACAGCTGAGTGCCAGGACCATAACCCCTTCCTGCTCTGTGCTGCAGTAGGCCCCTCCATCCCTGAGGCCCTCTGCCCAGGAGCCCCATGCATTCCTAGGAGATGGCTGGCTGGGTGCAGGGTGATGCTGACAGGCCGTGATTGCACCTTGGGATCAGTGACAATGTGAGGCCTAGGGCTGGCGCCCATTTGGCCCGCTGACCCTAAGGAAGCAGTTTGGTGAATTGGCAGTAGCTGTGTTTGCTCATGTGGTGAGTAACAGAAAAAGTGACATGTTCCTATCATGCGAAATGAAGAAAAAAATAAATTTCGGGTAGGAGGTTGAAAGGGAGGAAGGAGCACACATGGTCTCTGCCCCCACCCCGGGATGGGAGGAGGAGGGGGGGACGATGTTTCCTCCTAACTCCTCTCTTCTCTCAGTTTTCTTTCAGTAAATATTCCTCATTGTTCCACGCGCAGGACTGGGCCTCTGCCTCCCGTAGCTCAGATGCAGTTACTCTTCTGCAGAGGGAGGAAAAGGCCACGTCAGCACGATGGCCTTGGGCGGGGCTGTCCGTCCCCCCACCCCGGGACCTGTGTTTGCACAGCCACCTTCAGGCACCACCCTGCCCAGGGGCCCGCGGCTGCCACTCCTCTAGTTGGCCCAGAGTCTGCAAGAGCCAAGATTCGGCCTTTCCTCCTTCCCAGGCAGGGGCCAGGCTGCACTCTCGTCCTCTCTGCCCCTGCCCGTCTCCCACCCTCACCCTCTGCAACCCCGAAGGCCAGCTGCAGCCCCATGCCACACCCCGACTGCGCCAGCCTTGTCTCTCCACCTCACTTCTTTCCCAGTCACGGCCCCCAGTTCGGATGCCTTCTAAGTGCCCTCCCAAGGTCCCAAAGAAGCTCTGTTTCCAACAGTGCGTTTCCCAGGTGACATCTGTGCGTCTCTCCAGGCTTCCTCCAGGGCCAGCCTTCCCTCCTCCCTTGAACTGGGAGAGCCGAATATTGGCCCAGGTCCAGTGGTGGACCAGGTGCCCTGCCTGCCAGGCTCTGGCTCTGCTGGGTTCACGGAGGCCTCGCCTAGCAGTTCCTCCAAACTTTGCCCGTTGCTTCCCCCTCACCTCTCACCAAGGTGGTATTTGCCAAGTCAGTTGTTTTGTCTGCACTTCTTAATTTAGTCTACAGTGTGACTCACTCAAGGCCCAACAGAGGTGTGTAGGGCAGAGCAAAAACAAATCATGTTTCAGTTTTTCTTAAAAAAGTGACGTCCATATCCTGGCCAGAAGAACAGAATGCTTATTGGTTGGAGGTATTTGGGGTTTGCAAGGATTTTTGTTTTCCTGGCTTTTGCTTTACTTTTCTGAAATTAGCTGTTAATCTAATCAGGTTTGCAATATTTTTTCCTCCAAGGAGTGAGAATAATAGACTTTGTAGTTGGGCAGTGTTTTACAGTTTGTGAACCATATTCTCTAGCTTTGTTGGATTTCAGCTTCACACAGCCCTGTATGAACTTGGACACATTATTTCCACTTCGGAGGTGGTGTGGTTTGCCCAAGTTACAGGCCACTACTCAGTGGCAGAAAGTTCTAGAACCTTGCTCTTCTTAGTCTCTGAATATCATGTCCCCTCTAGGACACACTGTATGGCTTTTCTCTGTCTTGGCTTTGTCCACTGCAGACCAACACAGCCTTCCCCTCCTCTGGTTAGGTGGAGAAACGCTGTCAGAGTTGGCCCCATTGAGCCAGGAGGAGACAGTGTACCCGATGACACTTAGCAAGTCATGCTGGGGCCTTAGTTCCGGAACCTGCCCCACCCTCTAGGCGTGGTTCCAGCACATCCCTGTGTGCTGCCCTCAGGTAACTGTAACTTTTCTCTTCTCCGGCCCTCCATCCTGCGTGGACAGTCTGTATTGCCCAGTATCCACCTTCTGGCTGTGCCTTCCCATCTAGTCGTGGCCACACGAAAGGCATGGGGGAGGGGACACTGAGCAGCAAGCTGGAGACCCACTTCGGGCTCCAGGTCACCCTCCACCCTGTCAGCTGCTGCTCTCCTGGGTATCCCGTTGTCAGTGCCTCCCCTGGGGCGCTGTCCGGCCTCTCCCACGATAGGCGGGTTGGCCGGGACACTGGAACAGGTCCAGAAATGGAGGGACACCATTGAATCAGAGAGCAGACTTAGAAACTGCTCCCTGTGGCTTTCCAGCAGTGGGGTGACTTGTGCAGGGTGCGTATAGGAAGGTTTGCTGCGGGGAGAGGTAGAGTAGCGAGAGAGAAATGAACACAGGACAAGAAATCAGGAAAAGACTATTGCTGCCCTCCTAAGTCAAGTTCAGGTAAGCTGATCTGGATTGATTCGGTGCTTTTTCACGGGGCTGAGGAAGAACACACGAATGTATCCTCCTCCCTTTGCTGAGACCACATGATTAAGGTGAATGTTTCCCTCGTGGCCTCCATGCACTTCTGCCTTTGCTGATCCAGACAAGGCCGTAATTCTCACCTGGGTCCAGGTGTGGTCCCACCTCTTTAATCAGGCATTTTTCTGCTCCCTAGAAACACACTTCCCCATCAGTCACATTCCAGAAGGAGGGGGGGAGCTGGGATTTGACAGGTATCAACCACACAAGCCTCCTGGACAGAAGTCTTTTTAAACTTTGTCTGAGTACCAGCTTTTTGTGAAAATCGGGATGTCGAGAGCGTTTCATTTTAACCTCTTGCTGAGAGGTAATTGTTTTGTATAAAAGAAAACACCTGCTGCTCCCCACTGTGTTTCAAAGCACTGCTTGTGGTTTAAAAGAAGAGAAATGTGCGTGTGGTGTGAAGCACTTGCAGGGAAACGAGCGAGCGGTCTGGGCAGAGCTGATCGGGGCGTGTGCTGGGTGGGGGGGGGGGGGGGTGGGGGGGGAGAGACAGTGGGGCCGAGAGAAAAGATGAGAGATATTCCTACAGAGTTTGGTAAAACCAAAGGAGGGGATAACACTCCCTGGCTCTGTAGGAAACAGTGTTTATCAGATGACCATGAACTTTATGAATTTTCAAATTATTAAGGCCAAAACAACATCCAGATGAGTTGTTAGAATTTTTTAAAAAATTGAGCTAGGTCCCTGGATACAACGCTCTTCTTCCTGTTTTAGATGGAAGTCCTGGTATCTGCAGGCCTGAAGGCAGTTCTCATTTCTTTCACCTGAAAGCATGATTAATTGCTGATTTTTTAATTGCAATCATTATTCCAAGAACCACCAGCTGACCTTGTTCATAGAGCTGATTTATGACGTGATCCCACTTGTAAAGATCTGTTGCTTTAACCTAAAGCACATCAGATTTCTGGTTCAGTAGGCTTTCTTTTTTTTCAAAATACGACAAATGTGTTTTGTTTTCACAGGGCGAACCTTTCCAACACATCCATACTTCTCTGCTCAACTAGGAGCGGGGCAGCTGTCACTTTACAACATTTTGAAGGCCTACTCGCTTCTAGACCAGGAAGTAGGCTATTGCCAAGGTCTCAGCTTTGTAGCAGGCATTCTGCTGCTTCACATGGGCGAAGAAGAGGCATTCACCACGCTCAGGTTTCTGATGTTTGACATGGGTCTGCGGAAACAGTATCGGCCAGACATGATTACTTTACAGGTAGAGAGCGTTCCTTAAGTCTTTGATAAAGATGAACTCTAAGATGTTTATGATCCCTTTCCAGGTATATCTAAGGAACCCTCCCACCATCAGTTAACACTGTAACATCTGTCACTGAAGAGAACTTACCAAATGTTGCATGTGCACTTACCTCCTCAAACTCCAGGAAGACATTGTTGATCAGCTCAATTTAGAGATGGGAAAGCTAAGGCTCAGAGAGGTTATGTAATTTGAGCAGGTCACACAGCTAGCAGGTGGCAGAGCTGGGATTTAAACCTAGGCCTGTCTGACTCCTGGGCGCCCTCCCTTTTACCCTTTGTCAGACCACCTTCAGGTGGTCTGATTCCTACCTCCCATTGTATTTGCTCCTTCCTCTGCCGGGGATCCCATCCCTACCCCTCAACCCCTGCCATCCCATGTCCAGCTCAGATATCACCTGTTCACGCAGGTGCCGTGTCCCCGCCTCTTCCACCCACCCTGGCTCGCTGTGTCACGTGATCCTGTCTCATTCCTTTTGCATAACACACTTACTGCCTGAAATTGTCTTGTTTCCTTATTTATTTACTTGTTTATTTTCTGGCTCTCCTTAGCGTATATCATGAGAGGGCCAGGGGTCTTACCTGTCTTGGGGCTGAGTCCCTAGTTCCTAGGCTAGTGCCTGGGATGAAGTGGGCACCTCGTCCGTATTTGTTGAATGAATGAGTGACAGGTGGCAGGTCATGTCAGAAGAAAACCCCATACAACAGTGTGTTCCATTGCTGCTACCACCGCCTTTCAGAGGTGGGGAGAACTCTGGATCCTGCCTTGAGGATATTCCTAAATGTTGGAATATGTGTTTACGTGTTTGTTTACCAGCAAGATACTCTGATTTCAGAGCCTTAGAAAGTGTATGTTAGAGCCAAGGACTCTTCCAGAGCATTGAACAGCATGGCTAGAAATCCTTTCACCTCCACCTGTGTGTGTGGACCACGTGAACATAAATCCCATAGAAGGAAGCCATCCCGTTCACTAGGAGATTTGGGCCCACATAACACTTTCCACACATGCTGTCGGGTTCTTCCTACATACCCCCGTTAGCGTATTTAATGTAGGTGCGCCTGCCATCGAAGAGAGTGGAATTTTTCAGATTTGTATAGTATAGTATACAACAGTATATACTGATATAGTATATTACACAAGTCGTGTGTAGTATAGTATACACATGGCTGTGTTTGGGCTGGTGGCCTAGAGATTAGATTTCCTTTTGATACAGAAGAGCCGCAGCTGGTACCTGAGAGAGCTGTGTTGTCTGGCCTCCCGGAAACAGTTTTTCCCGTTGTGGGCAGTACATATCCAGCTGTAGCGCCCTCTCCAGGTCACTGTTCCTCTGGGGTCGGGCCAGGGACTGCTCAGTCGGGGCTGGCTCTAGGCCAGCTGTGAGCCCCGGGACCCTCATGGGCTTCCTGCCAGGGCCGCATCACTCTGAGGGAGCCCCCCCTGAGCTCACATCCAGCCTAGTTGGAAAAGCTTTCTCCATCTCGAGATACACGCTTGTCAGCTTCCTTTAACTTTCCTGTGTTGTAAACCTGGAGAAGTCGCACCTGTCCTGCCTCCTGAGTGGTTTGGGGGGCGTTCGGCGGGAACTTAGGGAACAGGTACAGCAGCATCCATCTGCAGAGTCTGTGCTCTCACTTCGCTGTTGGCGAGAGGCCGCCTTTTTACTTCAGATTCCCCTGGCTTTGGGTTTTGCTAAGAATGTGCGTTTACGAAATGTTGCCTCAGGATAGATGCGTAGCTTCTCCCAGCCGAGGAGCGCGAGCGCGAGGGAACAGTAAGAAGAGAGGCCTTGGCCGGAGGAGCCCCTACCGTGAGCGCCCCGGGCCCAGCCCAGCCCCTGCCTGGCCACAGCAGCCCCAGCGAGCACTCGCTGGATGACGAAGGGCGAGAGCAGGGGGTTCTCAGGAGCCACGAAGAGAGTTCCGTGGTCCTTCTGCCTCCAAGCAGGGTGGATGCCCACGGTGACCCTGTGTGTGTGTCCCTGCAGATACAGATGTACCAGCTCTCGAGGCTGCTCCACGACTACCACCGAGACCTGTACAATCACCTGGAGGAGCACGAGATCGGCCCCAGCCTCTACGCCGCGCCCTGGTTCCTCACAGTGTTCGCCTCGCAGTTCCCCCTGGGGTTCGTAGCCAGAGTCTTTGGTGAGTGTGTGTGAGTCTGTTCGCCAGGACCCGCGTCCTCGAGTTAGAGGGGAACCGTGTGTCGTCACTCCGTGGTGATTCTTCTCATTTTTATCCTGGGTCTTCTGCAGGAAACAGGGTGGTATTTGTCATTCTCAGTTTAGTGAGGATCAGCCTTCGGGAGTTTCAGGACCTGCTTAACTTCTGATGATCAGGGCCTCCCCTCGATGCCTTCCTGTGGGCTTGGATCCGATTCCCTCCCCCCAGGCTCCCCCTGGAGCAGACTTGCTGCAGGCTGGGCCGAGGAGCCTGGCGCGGGCCCAGAGATGTTTCTCCCGAGCCGTCTTCCTCGACCTCCGTGGCCCGGGCCTTGCTCGCTGAGCTCCCTAAGACTTCTCCCCCGGGAGTCCCGGGCCGCTGCTCTTTCTGGGTCTCGCCTGCATCTTCCCCTCTCGCTCCGCTTCCCCTACCCGTGGCTCTCCGCTTCCTCTGCCGGCGTGCTCTCGAAGGCACCTCTGTGTCGCCGACCCACGGTCCGTCCTCACGCCCCCCCCCCCCCCCCCCCCCCCCCCGGGGGTTTTGTTCTAGCCGGCTCTCCTTAGCTACTGGGCCCTGTTCAACCCGGACAAAACAAACAGGGGCTGTCGGGAGAATTGCCTCTTGAACAGAGCAGTGAGGGGGGAGGAGTGGAAACAATTACACCAATAATTCAGACCTGGATGTTAAAACACTCACAACACAACCCCAACGTTTACCTAAATTATCTGGGTAATTGCCTTCATTTCAGCTTGGATTTGGGTTCTGTACATCCTGGGGCTTCCAAATGATAAATAAGGAGGCTCTCATTTAGGCCAAAGCTGAGAGGGAGGCAAGGCGTCCTCATAGAAAGAACACAGAAGCCCCCCCCCCCCCCCCCGTGTCACCTTCCCACTGCCGTGCCCCCGTAACTGAGGGTGGGTCACATTTCAAACCATCTCCCGTTTACTTGATTTACTGTTCGAGAAGATTGTCTCTGTCAGAGTTTTAAATGAATGTTCACGTGCAAAGTCTCAAAACTGCCTGGTCAATTAGACTTCAATTTAAAAAACTCAAAATTAAAAAAAGGTAAAAGGCTGCCTTGACCTGGCAGGGATAGGAGCCGAGTGACATGCTGTGTGTGAGCAGTCAGCTCTTGTACGGTGTGCTTTCCCTGCTTCGGGATGAAGTAATAATTCTGACAGTTCAGGTTCTTTTTATCTTTTTACTGTGGAGGAAGAGGTTATTAAAAAATTGATTGTCATCACATACCAAGTGGTTTTAAAGTACCATTTATGTTGAGTCACTTGATAGCTTAAAAACCTGTATTCTTATACTTTTTTAGATTCGTTTTTAGAATTAGAGACCATCTTAAAGGGATTGTTCACAAAAGAGAGAGTCACTTTAGGCAGCTTTGGGCAGACCACTTGTATATCTAGATTCTAGAAATCCTAAAATTTGCTTTTTTTAAAAAAAAAAATTTATTTATTCTAGGCTGCACTGGGTCTTTGCTGCCGTGCACGGGCTTTCTCTAGTTGTGGTGAGCGGGGGTTTACTCTTTGTTGTGGTGCGCGGGCTTCTCACTGCGGTGGCTTCTCTTGTTGCGGAGCACAGGCTCTAGGCGCGTGGGCTTCAGTAGTTGTGGCACGTGGGCTCAGTAGTTGTGGCACACGGGCTCTAGAGCGCAGGCTCAGCAGTTGTGGTGCACGGGCTTAGTTGCTCCGTGGCACGTGGGATCTTCCCGGACCGGGGCCCGAACCCGTGTCCCCTGCATTGGCAGGTGGATTCTCAACCACTGTGCCACCTGGGAAGCCCGCCTAAAATTTGCTTTTTAAGTGGGCAGTGAGTCGTCTTCTCTCCTCCTCCCCCCCCCCCCCACCAAAGTACTAGATTTTTATTATCATTTACTTCTGTCCACAAGAACTTTTAAGGAATTTACCATTTGGCTTTACTAGGAGAATCTAGGTTCTTAAAATATTCACTACTCTCCCCATTTTTGCATAGTTCCCTGCCCAAATTGATTTTAATTTTCCGTCCCTAAAAAAAAAAATAAGCACTGAAAATAATGGATACTAAAAAATCTTTCCCCGGTTAAACAAAACATTAGTGAGATTTT